TCAGTGTTAATAAAGATTAAAAATACATTTTAAAATAATTAGTAGATATTCTGACATACTATATTTTTGGGTCATATTTTAGGTCATTTTTCTGGATTTTTTCGATCATTTTATAGGTCATCTTTAAAATATTTTCAGGTCATCAGTATACATAAATCTGATATACCTGCTAATCAGGAGCCGGGATAGCTCAGTCGGTACAGCGACTAGATACGGGTTGGACGACCGAGGTGCTGGAGTTCCAGTCCCGGTAGGGTCAAGAATTTCCTCTTCTCCACGTCGGTCGGACCGGCCCTGGGGTCCACCCAACTTCCTATTCAAGGGGTACTGGGGGCTATTTCCCCGGGGTTAAATCAGCCGGGGCGTGAAGCTGACCACTCGCCTCCAGCTAGTGCCGAGGTCAAGAAATTGTGGATCTATACATCCACTCCCCACAAACGCCTTCATGGCGTAGTGCTTAATTAGCTAAGCAGAGAAACAACTTCACTTATTATACCCGCTAATCCAAAGGTAACGCGGGCCACGGTTATTGCTGAACTTCTAATTTGGGTCCTCCGGTCTCAGCGTTTGTAGGGCCATATTATAAATAATCCGCTCAGATAAAATACTCCAGCCGTAAATTAGAGGCATTAACGAAACTGTATATTGGGATATATCAGTAGATACAATTAATTAATCTACAAGGGGGCCGCGCCATAGCTCAAGCGGTTAGTCGCTGGCTTCCCACCGCGGCGGCCCGGGTTCGATCCCGGGTCTGGTCAAGTGGGATTTGTGGTGGACAATGTGGCGCTGGGGCGGGATTTCTCCGAGTACTTCGGTTTCCCCTGCCAATCTTCATTCCACCAAATTCTCCATCATCATAATCATCCGGAGCAGGTACAATAGGCCAATCAGTGGCAGCCATGCCGAGTGGATCCAGCTGGACTCCACCCCCCATTAAGAGAACTATAAAAAAAATTTGACCTGGGAGATTTTATTTCTTTTTCACAAATATTGTGTGTCACATTAATTTTCGATATCAAATTACTGTCTTCACGTTTTCTTAATTCAGTCAACATTTTCAGGCATTATTTCTTTACAATCAGCTCATATTATACTCCCTTCTATGTCACTGTCTCTAAAATGATGTTTTCCGCCAAGAGTTTCCAAATAAAATTCTGTATGTAAGTAAGACTGGATTTAACCAAGCTTCCTACACAATATAAACTTCGCGGCCTCCATAAATAACAGGACAGTAACGATTCAGAGAATCCCTCAGCGTACTGGCCGTATATTGGGCAGCAGTTTTGTGTACAGTGTAAAATGGCCTTCTATGTTACTTCCCATGAAGCTATTTAAAACAAATGCATAAAAGTCACGTTTAAATTGTACTCGCGCTAAAATGTACGTGTAAACAAAGGTATCCCTGTAACAGGCCTTGGAGGCCCATAGGATTGTGCGATGTTGAGGTTCCCACATTTTGTAGACCATCGCTTCATAGATGGCGGTAAGGTTGTCAGCCCTACGCCCCGGCCGCCCTTTACCCCCAAGAACAGTCCAAGAATATACCTAGTACTCATTTCTGATAGAGGCTGAGTCGACCCCAGGGCCATAGTGCGGCTGGAAGGATTAGGTTGAAAAATCCACCTCATCGGGATTCGGTCCCGCGACCTTCCGGCTTGTAGCATAGTGCCTCAAACAACTACGCTACCGTGTGCCCCTGAATTGTACTCGCACTAAGTAAATTAAATAAGTTTAATTCCGTTTGAAGACTCTTAACCAAATAAACCAAACGTGTTTATATTGCTGTTCACTCTACAAAGAAGTTTCACTCTTCTGTGAACAGAACACTAAACAGATCATTAAGTAACATTTCCGGAAACTTTTACCGATCTTAGCTAATTAAAGGGTATTATCCTACGTTACCTGTTTAATACTTCACGCACACGGGAAGTGAGGTCATTACGGTGAAAGCTGAAATTATGATTTAATGTAATCGTGTTATAGCAGCAAGTTGCTGGACTCGTTACTACGTTGGGCAATTTCAAATATCCACCATTAATGCAATGTGTAATACTAACTGTCCTTCAGCGGGTCACAGACGCTCACTTTGCAAATATTAAAGGGGTAACTCCTAATTCCCTTTGCAAACGTTCCTCGGTTCTGAAATCTTTCCGTTCCAACCTACCGCCTCGTCCCTGTGATACCCGTAACAGTGTGCAAACACACTGACGCCGCGTGGCGATAATGTGAACCTGTTTTACTAAAACAGACTTTGAAACATTCAGAAATGATGACTGCACCAGTGGTTATCAACCGGTGTGCCCCGAGCATTCGCCAAGCGCGTCATGAGGCTTTTAAAGGAACAATGATTGCATTGTGACGTATCTGGCCATTAGACACGCATTCTCAACGACAGAGGAGCGGTGTTTCTATGCTAAACAAATTTTCTCATAGGCAGTGACGTCAGACACAAAAGGAAGGCTATGTGCTGCTGTGGTCCGTGCCGAGTGGTTATGAAGGACAACATAGGATGTTTTCTGTGTGGTCCGTGCCATGCTCAGTGCTGGGAAGCGGGCCAATATCCAGGAAATCTGACACGTGACATGTGTTTTCTGGGCTGTGCGCTCCGTGCGGTGACTATAAGGGAGTCAGTTGTCGGTAGGACATAGGCACTGGAAGTTAGTCATTAAAGAACTAGAAGTCAAACTGTGAAGACTTATAAGATTCAGTCACAGTGAGACTGTTTTAATTCCGTCGCCAGGATACGGCTAGTGAAGACTGAGAATCCTGGTTCGTGTGTAACGGTGAACTGTAAATTGTGTAAATCAGCGATAGCGCTGTTCTGCTTATGAGTAGGAGTTGACTGTATAAGGTGTTAATAAATCCAGTCACCCAATCAAACCCCGTCTATAGTCACTAATACATGTGGCAGTATAAACTAAAACGTGTATTTGCATAAACTTTTTAATTGATATTTGTAATAAAGCTTCATATTATTTCTGCTTTACTATAATTTCATGTTTTTATACAACAATGTGATATTTAAAAATTGGTGTACTCTTATCATAAATTATAGTTATTTCATTCTAATCTTAGTGCAATGCAAAATATCTTAATATCCCACGTGCGTCGCAAACAGTGTCACTGGCAAGCACTGCGACGGAAAACATAGGCTTCGTTAGCCAAAGTGCCATGACCTGCAGTTCCTGTACTATATAAGTCTTGATAAGACTGCTGTTCCTATTCTTTCGAACACAACGTGACATTATCGACTTCAAGAAAACTGTTTCACAATCACTTAAACATATATGCCCTAATATGTGGCATTTCAGTTACCAGTGTGTTTCTTAATAACCTACGACAATTTTATTTCTTATCATTTCAATATTTCGCATAGTTGGGGGTGGAGTCCAGTTGCGTCCACTCGGCACGGCGGCCACTGATTGGCCTATTGTACTTACCCCGGGTGATTATGATGATGGAGAATTTGGTGGAAAGAAGATTGGCAGGGGAAACCGAAGTACTCGGAGAAAACCCGCCCCAGCGCAACTTTGTCCACCACAAATCCCATTTGACCAGACCCGGGTTTGAATCCGGGCCACGCCGGTGGATCATTTCAATAAGTAATTGAAGTCGTCCAATTTAAACTAAAGATTAAATTGGAATATTAAGAGCTAGACTTGGTGTAAACAACTGACACTCATATCCCTGCGGCACGGAATAGTGGTGCCACAGTGTCAGTTGTTACATGCAGCCAAAATAAATATATATTATCAGCAAAGGATGCCGCTCATCGTATGAAATATTACACTTCGCAGCTGCATTCCAGCGAGGTCTCAGGAACCGTTGGGAATATCGCTGGACCAGCGGCTTCGAAGATGTAATTGTAAAAGGTTATTGGAGGATTTGAAGTAACACACCCGCCTTCCGTTTGAATGATCGAATGAGAAGCGATGATGGAATATATCTGCGAGGGTGGGGAGAATTAATGTCCCCAAACTCGAGGATGTAGTCCGGGCTTCGAAACACTTCTGATTCGGTCATTCTTACGGATAGAAGTGTTTCTGCATATGGTAAAACGTTTAACAGTGTGTAAATGTAATGTGTGTAATTCCTACGGACAGAAGTGTTTCAGCCTATGATAATAAACAGTGAGTAATTGTAAGGTGTGTCGGCGTGATATTAGTACCCTTGTTCTACTCATAATCCAAGACCCGTATAAAGACCTGAGAAGGAATTTCACTGCCTACCGAAACCACACCCAACAACGGAAATCAAAGGGCGTAAGAGCGGTTGCATAATCCTTATAACAAAGTCTGTCTTGAGAAGCTAGCAGTCACAGTCATGTGCTCAAGAATCTTCCGCCATTTTTTAATGTTCATTACCACCTACACAAGAGTCAGCCACTGTTCCCTTTCCTAAATTTGAGGAACTGAGCTCAAGCCTTCGCACCCTATTTATTTAAAATCCATGTTGTTATTACACTGTTATCCACGAGTTATTGTTCCCGGTGGTTTGTCTCCCTTATCTCTAGTCGCTCTATATCCCATGTGTTTTTATTTGCTAACGTGAATTGTTCTCAGTAGATCAGCAAGAAAATACACTAAAATTTAGTTTAATCTCTTCCATCAATCATCACAAAGTTACTGTACTGAAATGTTGATTGTTCTCTTTGTGGCAGTTTCGCTATGCCCGTGTCATTTTATGCCGTTCACAAAGAAGTTCTGATGGTATTACGATCTGTCATTTAAAAAATGACACTGTGAAGTAACTTCGGTTGACAGTAATTAATTAGCAAATAAATTCTTTTTCTTGCAATCTGGAAGTTACTCGGGAAAACATCCAGGCTATAATAAGAAGTACTGAGAAGAATGGTATATCTGTAGGATATGATTGATTAACATTGCAATAAGAAATGAGGCACTCCTGCATGCGAGTTTGGAAAGATAAAACAAGTGAACACGTCATGAGTAGGCTTACGAATAGATGAAAATGGATAAAAATGAAGGCATACTTACAAATCCAATTTCGGCAGATGGACCAGTAACGTCTGCAATGCCAACACCAATGTTGTAGCTGGCCACGACTCCAAGAGGGACGACAGACAGTAAGCACGCTGCCACCATCAGCGGCAGGGACAGAGCGGTGAGACGTCCCATCTTTCCGCGTTCTGAAAACAAACGTAAGGCAACAGACTCAGCCTCAGAGACAGGGCATGACTGGAGGCTGCAGAGCCGCATAATGGGGAGGAGCTTCGTAATTCCAACTCTTCACTCAGCGCCATTAGGGTAATGAAGGCAAGGTTCGGAGAAGCAGAACATACAACACCAATTGCGGAAACGAGAAACTACTGAACAATTTTGGCTGTAAACCCAAAAGGTAAGAGACCATTTAGAAGACCTAGTCGTACGTATCAGGATAATATATAAAAAGAGGATGGTACAGTGTGGCTGGTTTGATTCATCCAGCTCAAGATAGGTACAAGGGACAGACTTTTGTGAAGAAACTGATGCATTTTGGGGTTCTGTAAAGTTGTCCCTGACCTTAACTACCCGTTGGATAGGAGGTTGGGTGGACGCCAAAGCCGGTCTGGACGATGTGGAGAAAACTTTCATAAAATCTTCCCGACACTTGCCTGAGGGAGCAACCCATCTCACAGCACTGACCACAACACAACACAGAAACATACGGCAACCAGTTGCTCCTCTTGGGGTCCGAACCAGAGGGATCGCGATATAAGATTCTGGGTGGTTTTAACCAGAAAGTCCATCAAACGTCACCGACGGTGAGTATAAAGTGCACACTCCATTTCTCTCATGGTGATGATAATGTTTGTTATAATGCTAAGCGTTATTAATCTGTTCTCCGTAGATTAAGACATCATCCAGACCAGCTCTGGGGCCCACTCGGCCACCTAACCAATGCGCATCGCAGGTGATTTCCCCGAGAGTAAAGCGACCGAGGCGTGAAGCTGACCACTCTCCTCAATTTATTACAGAGCTCAAAAATGGTGCGGCTATACTTCCACTCCTCCATTATGTTCTCATGGTTTTTCTTTTTCCTTTGGCGCTACAGCCCTAATTTTGGCCTTGGCCTATCTCCATGAAACTATCCGTTTCATTTCGGTTTATTAGAACTTAGACACTCAGTAGGACTCCTTGGACGGGTGATCAGCTCGTCGCAAGGCCTCTACCTGTACACAAGCACAGAAAAAAGCAACACACACACACAAACATTGAACATCCATGCCCTGAGTTGGATTCAAAATCACGATCCCGGCTTCCGAGCGAGCGAAGACAGTGCATGCCTTAGACCGCTCGGCTACCGTGGCCGGCGTCCTCATGGCTTACTGCTCAATTAATTAAAAATAGGGACAAATTCGCTTTCTTATTAATCTTTGAATGTTAAAAACGCAATTGACCCGTGTTAATTTCAGTTACAATTTGGGAACTATGAAGTCCACTACTGACCTGTCTCGGATCTTTCCAGTTCGAGTCCGATTGTAGGGAAAGAAGACACAGTCCTGCTTCATACAGGAAGAAGAGGAAATCTGATTTGTAAGTACACACACAAATATAATAATCCTGTAACTGCATTGATGACCTTATGTAACATAACAAAATTATAATTTTAGACAGCAGTGATACGAGCTGATGTATAAATATACAAGTACTTTCGCTCTGTTTATGATAACGTCCCTTGTGTTGAAATATTCAAGGCTCAATCGCATACTCCAAAGGCTATCAACGTTTATAAGAACTTTAATCTGAATTTCGCACTGCTTTACAATAACTCTGGGAAGGACTGTTTTTCTTTCCTCCACACAACAATATCTGTCTCGCTTGCTTATTCAGTAGCGAGGCGCCCTTTTGAGTGCAGAAGTGACACATTGACTGTGTAGATGTTATAATTACACAGCTTTATGTAAATACTCTAATACGTTGCAGTACAACTTTTCAAATTAGAATTGGGAACGAGCTCTTGTCCTTGTGGTAATGAAGCTTCGGGTTGATCAGCTGAGCAACTGTCAGCTTTCAAATAAGATCGTGCTCCGTCAAGTTACTTAGCAAGCAGACTATCCTAGTAACAGCTTTTGTTTTTGGCGGATTTTAGAGAAACTTTGTAGAAAACTTAATATTCTAGTTGTTTCTGTTTATAAAGGAGCCGGGATAGCTCAGTGGGTACAGCGACGGGCTACGGACTTGACGGCCCGGATTCGATTCCCGGCAGTGAAATATTTTTCTCTTCTCCGGAGCGTCCAGAACGGCTCCTTGGTCCACCCAGCCAATGAGTACCGGGGGCTCTTTCCCCGGGGTTAAAGCGGCAGGGGCGTGAAGCTGACCACTCAATGCCGAAGTCAAGACTGGTCGAGCTATATCTCCAGCCCCCCCCCCCATATGTCTTAATGACGTCGTGTTTAACTAATTCAGCAAACGGACTGATTTACCCTTATTCCTGTTTATAAAAATTCAGATAACTAAAATGATTTCCTCTCGAAAATTTGAACAAATCGTAAGCGGTATGCCAGAATCAGTGAGTTTATGGTTCGATGAGAGTAAATAAAAGAAAGTCTGAACTATTTTCGCTCTAGTTCAGTATAGAAATGTCTTAAAGAAGAGACAAGACTTATATCATACAAATAGTATTCATGCGTACCTTTCTCCTTAGCAAACCGTGAGCTCATGTCGCTGTAAACTGACAGTACACATTCCTTTATGGGCACTGGAACGTAACGGTCAGCATGCAGTGCAGTTTTCTTCAGCTGACTGCTGTTTCAGATAACAAAATGACTGATATACGAAGCATTTTTCCGCCCAAACATTGGTGAGCGTTATCCTCAGCGCAGACCTGCTCTTTACGTCGCTTCTTCTCACAAGGATGTTTCTGCTACGTTTCTGGTTTCTTGCTTGCCTGATCTAGCAAAAGTAAAGTATACTACTGCGACTGCGTGTTAGGTTATGACAGTTCAGTTCTCACCATTTCCTCTTCTTACAACACAAGTAACTTTGGTTACGATACATCACTGCATACCTGGCAGCGCTGCCTGCGCCGCAAAGCGATTCGCGAGTTATTCGAGCATACGCAAGAAATCAGAGTAAACAAACTTCATAATCCACCTGTATTTACTCAAGTGCCTTACTTCCTTCATTGTGCATCATTACTTATCGCCTTCATACCTGGAGCTGCGTGCAGATTTCGAGCTCCACATTTTGAACATGTTTTTCAGTGGAGCTGAATCCTTCTTGAGAAGCTGCCAATTGTGCAGCTACTCAAGAATTTCCCAGCATTTTATTGAACCCGAAGATTCGTTACCGTGTTCACAAGAGCCCTCCAGCGGTTCCTATCCTGAGCCAGATCAATCCAATCCATACGTATTTCTCAGAGATCCATTTTAATATTGTCCATCCACCCACGCATTTATCTTCCCAGTGGTCTCCTTCCTTCCCGCTTTCCCACAAATATCCTATATACATTTCTCCTCTCTTTCTCATTCGTGCTACATGCCCTGCCCATCTCATCCTCCTTGACTTGATCATTCTAACATTTTAAACATTAAGTTGAAAAAATACGAATTCATGTTTTTTGACCCACCTTCACGAAAATTTTCAGGGCCCCTCATTAAGTCGCACCCCGATTTCTAACTTGAAACATTCGCACAAATTCCATGTTCTGGTTACTGGTTGTAGGAAACTACAGGACGAGCCGGGGTAGCTCAGTATACTGAGTGGCTACGGTCTGTTTTCTTCCGCAGGAGACCGTCTATTGGCCCAAATATCCCCTTATTCAGAGGGTACCGGAATAAAGCGGCCAGGACGTGAAACTGACCATTCATTTCCATCTAGTTCCGAGCTTAAGAATATATGGAGCTAAAACTGCACTCCATCGTGCGTCTTAGTGGCTTGGTGATTCGTTTCTGTACAAAATTTATAAGGATTCCTAGTAGGTTAAATTTCATATTCGCAACCCTCACCACTCTTGCATCTGGTTACCAATCTAACTTACATAACATTCTATACAGAATTTTATATGCACATAAGAGTTCATTAGTAATTTCCATCCAACCGAAGGCGAAATGTAAATTTCTCTTGAACGTCAGGTTCTTGTCTTACATGCGCCAATTCAGGAGTTTGTTCCCACAGAACTGCACGTTTTTGGGGCCCTGTTAGCAGACATATGTCGCGCTGACGCCGCGTTATGACGGTTTTCAGTAAGAAATAACATTTTAATATTGCCCACCCACATACGCCTTGGTCTTCCCAGTGGTCTCTTTCCTTCTGGCTTTCCCACCAATATCCTATATGCTTTCCTCTTCTCCCCAGTTCGTGCTACATACACTGCTCACCTCATCCTGCTTGACATTATCATTCTAATTGTACTTGGAGAAGAGTACAAGTTATGAAGGTCCTCATTATGCAGTTTTCTCCAACCTCCTGTTACTTCATCTCTCTTCGGTCCAAATATTCTCCTCAACGCCCTGTTCTCAAACACCCTCAGTCTATGTTCCTCTTCCCCTTGTCCAGTACCACGGACAATTGGATTTACATGGATTAGGATTACGTCTGCCTGTGTCCTGCATAATTTAGTTACATAATCAGGTAGTAAGGAAGAGTTGCATTTAAAGCCAAAGTTACTTTACGACTGGTGGATTACCGCCAATCAGTTCACCCGTTCTTGTTCGCTATATAGCCTCGGCATGGACCCCACGCAAAAAGCCATTCGCCACCATCCTTCCAGTCGAGTCGTATAATGCATAGAGTTCAAAACGCATGTTAAATAAGGCACAATCAGCTCCACCACTGTGATGCGACAAACATGAGTTCGCGGCTCGGTGGTCCATGTTCAAATTGGCACTTTTGCCAAACCTTGACGCGCCATCTGTCATGGCGTAATTATGATTATGTTGCGTGGTTTATTGGGGCGGTGACAGAACTTCCCATGTCACTTTGAATAAGAAATTTATTAAGACCACAGAATATGGAATTTTATGAAAATTCACGTATTAAATTCAAAGAATACTTGCCACCACTGAGTCTAGAATCTCCCCATCTTCCCCTGTTCTATGTAAAAAAAACACAAAAATTAAAATGACAAGACCGTAATTTTGCTTGTTACTCTATACGAGTGTGAAACTTTGCCTGCATGAAGGTTATTTGAACACAATATTCGGGA